GCCATTCCTGCGGCGTCCCAATCTACACCATCCATGCGGCTCTCCCATGCTGGCCCCACCTCTAAGATAAAACCGACATTTATGGACCGTGGACGGTCGCCGTGGTTTGCTCTCGGTAATGTCGAGGCCAGGTGGTGTAAGGCCGGTCCTAGCGGCTCGTCGAGGAAAAGGCGGACTCCGTTGAGGTAGAGGGATGAAAGCCGTGTAAAAGACGCCAAAGAGAGTGGATAATCACATTCTATCAACAACGCGGAGTCAGAATGAAGGATGGCCGTCGTGATTCTAGCCCGGAACGCCTACCCGTGTGGAATACCCCAGAGATACTCAGCTCTGACAGAGACTGTGCACAAGATTCTATCATTTCACCAAGTGGAAGTAGATGTTCGTCTTCCCAAGAAATTTCAAGCCGTGAAAGGCGCAATTTCGAAGGCATCCGCGTGAAATGCCTTGTAATTGTCGAAGAGCATCCGCGCAGAGAGAGATTCTTCAGCATGGGAAGGTCGAAACCCTTGTTGTCCAATGGATGTGACCCCAGCATATTCGCAATGGCGCAACAGTCGCCAGGTTGCATGGTATGTTTGTGGGTCTCATCCTCCGACTCGGAGTCTGAGCCAGCTTCAGCTCCGCCTTCGTCGAGGAGTCCATCTTTCCCCCATCCCGCATCGTGTATGGTCAATGAGACGAGGTTCTTGAACGAGCCAATCAGCGCAAACAGCTCGTCAACCTCTCGGAATCGTAACCCCTCCAAGACGAGTTCGTCAATGGATGAACTATGGACGTCGAAGAATGGCATGAGTGACTCGCGTGAGTCACGGAAATCGATGCCCCGCAGCTCGAGGTGGTGCAGATTTTGGAGCTTCGGCCAAGCCAATAGCAACGGAAACGGCTCTGCTCCTGTAAGGTGTAGGCCGAAGACGGTATTGGGACCTTCCGGGTTTTGCGAGAGTATCTCAAACCACCGGGTCGAATCTTCTACAGATCGGAGTGATATTTCCGACCGAGGGGCACCAACTTCATCGGAGAGAACTCCAGCCATAGTCTGTGAGGTTGATGAGGATTTAGAGCTTGAACCTTGCAGTCTATAGAACTCGTACTTACTACCCCACAGTGTATACGATTTTCCCGGATAGAATGGAAGCAGGGACTACCGCGACGCGAACTGGAACTGTGGTTTCAGTGCTGGCAGGAAGATCCAAGAAACCCGTGTGCCTACTTATGACAACAGGACAACAAGATTAGGCGTTAAACTTTTGTATGCTCTTGCGCCCATATCTTAAGATCATAGTGATGTCGGTGATGGTAGCATGCGATTGAATCGCCGCAAGTGGCCGATACCTAAGGCCTAATGGCCTGTGATCGCTGCAAGTGCAACCTTTTCGCTCATGGAACGACCCTGGGTATCTACCCATCCTTTGATAGTGGACTGGCCGGCTCCGACAGAAGCATTTACATCCGCATTGATCGTAACCGTACGTTTGATATATGTAACACAAACACGAGAGGCCCAAACTGGACTATAAACAACCCACCGCCAGGTATTTCAAACATCACTAGAGAGCAATTGCGCAGCTTTGCGCGCATTAGCGCGAACAGCCTCCACCTGAAGTTCCAAGTTCCTGATCTGAGCGCGAGCCTCCCTGAGCTCGGAGTTCAACTTGCTGTTCTCATCGCGGAGAGTCGCCACTTCCTGTGATCAGAATCAGCACGCGTGCTTGGAGCAACAAGTGATCAACGCGAACCTCAGTGGTGTGCGGAGATGGCAGAGAGATTATCGGTGGGGGAGAAAATGTCGGTTCCCGCCTAGCAGAAATCGGTTCACGAACTTCAGGAGCCGGAGCCGGGGCTGGAGCAGCGGAAACAGGAGTGGCCAAGCTCGTAGATCTGGAGAGAACAGGGGACTCCACAAAAGCTGGGGTTTTCGGGGGAGCTGTAGTGGAGGTTGACACAGCGCCGTCCTCGAGGCTGACCAACTTCAAAGTTGGTTCCTTGCCCGAGAAAAATTCACCAGCTGTCAAGGAAGGTTCGGAGGACGGGGCTGGAGGATATATATCGGATTGGAAGGAATCGGACTGCGCGCTCCATGTCAATTGGATGTATTTATCGGCGGGTGAGACCTACCTTTCGAGGCACTATGAATGCGATCGGCTCAATGGCAGATGCTGTCACCTTGTAGGCTCGGGCAATCTCGCACTCAGTCACTTCCAACGAGCGACGAGGAAGGAAGCACATTCCTCTCTGCGGATCTGAAGACTTGTGCTCGGAAAGGGCGAAAAGGGAGTCAGATTCGTACTCGTAATATCGAATGTTTCCGTCCCTGTTCATGGTCTCAGTGACGAGAAAAATTGCGGAGAATAAAGAAAGGAAGCACCCTTTACCAGCAAGGAACAAGATTCCGTTGTCGCTCCAGAAGGGCATCACAACTCCAGAAGATTGGTCGAGGGTAATCATTTTTGGAGTGGTAAGGCTACCCGCATCCCAGATTGCGACTTGTCGGTCACTCATCTTGCTGAAGCCCGTGGTGGCGAAAGTATCCTTCTCGCCCATCCAAACGACACGAGCGCCCTTGATGCCACCATGACCGTCAGCGACGCGGACGGGGTCTCCGCCAGAGCGAGGGTCAAACAAGCGGACTTTCCTGTCCCTGCAAGTCGTAACAAGGACATTGCCAACGGCGTTGAAGGTGAGGCTCTGGATTGCGTCGCCGTGTCCACCGAGTACGGACTTGGGTGTTTCAGGGTTGCCCAAGTCCCAGAGTTTCACGACGTGATCCCCGGAAGCGGCGGCCAGGACATGTTCAGCGGTTGGGTGGAAAAGTACTTGGCCAATCCTACGGGCGGAACCGTCGATGCGGGCAACAGGATCGAAATCCTGTGGCACCCAATGCTCTTGACCCCAGCCTTCGAAGGAGGAGGCCTCAACCTTCCAGATCATGACTTTTCCGTCTTCACCGCAGGATGCGACAACGGAGTCGTTGAAGGGCGACCATGCAGTGTCGAGGACTGTGCCGGAGTGGCTTCGGGCCAATGGAATGATATCGGGAAGTTTAGATGGGACTTGAATAGTGCGGAATGGACTTGGGAGAGGCAAAATCGCGAACGCTCCTCCGCCCGACGAGCTCCAGTTTAAACTGACATAACTCTGCGAGAGAGATAAGTGAGCGACGGGTTCCATATAACCAGCGATGATGAAACGTACACCAGACGCAGCGACCAAGTTGGTATCCCAAGCGCTGCCGGAGACTTTGACGTTGTCTAAAGCGTGCTCCTTCTTCGCTGCTTGACCAAATACATGGCTGCATACACTGATCAGTTGACCACCACCAGATGGGGACCGAATTTCTCTTGCCGATATTTAGAGGCTCGCACAAAACGAGACATTTACACTGCATATATCACGTCAGCGATGAAAAGGTGGAACTTTCTGACCAAATCTTAGGAGCCAGACCTAGATGGGTGGGTGGTGATTGGCGTCGCAAGTGCAAACAGAACTCGGACGTGGCCAGACGTGGCGCTAATCGCCTATATCGGTCACGCGCACACGCACCTTACTTCCGACTTCCATCTGCCAGCGATGGTCGCTCAAGACAAGAAGACGACAGAGGCGAACGCACGAGCTCTCCGCGAGTTGCTCAAACAGCCAGATAACAAAGTCTGCGCTGATTGCAAACGAAATGGTGCGTATCACCCCCCTCCAAATCATCCCCCACTCATGGACTGCAGACCCACGTTGGGCCTCGTGGAATATGTGAGTTCTAGGACCAACAGGAATAGGTCTTAGCTAATACTGCTCCTGCAGCGGCGTGTTCTTGTGCATCCGGTGCTCTGGCATTCATCGGTCCATGGGGACTCATATCAGTAAGGTTAAATCCGTAGATCTCGATGCTTGGACGCCCGCACAACTAGAGGTCGGTTCCGTGCGAACGCTCATCACGAGACCTCACTGAAAACTGAACGTAGACAATTCGAAAATGGGGGAACCGGCTCGCTAACAAATATTGGGAGGCACACTTGAAAGCCGGACATATTCCGCCAGATCAGTGGGTTGACTCTACAGACCACGTTTAGTCTTTTTCTGACGTTTTTGGTCAACAGCAAGATGGACTCGTTTATTCGTTCGAAGTACGAGACAAGGAGGTGGGCCATGGAGGGAAGCCCCCCCGAGGATCCCTCTGTTTTGGACACCAACGGACCGTCAGCTGGACCGCCTACCACCGAAGTACAGCAGAACAACATCCCCCAGTCACTCCCAGTCACTCATCCTCAACGAACTGAGCCTCCTCGTCACCAACTTCTTTCCGCATCTCACCATCAACAACAACCGGCCCAGCCAAGGCTCCAACCTCCGGCTCCGGTCCCTGCCCCCGCACCAGCTCCTGCACCCCCACAGAATGATATCTTCAGCCTAGATTTCCATGCTCCTTCTCAACCCGCGCAACAACCGACCCAGCCCGCTCCACCCAAGAACGCTAAACAGGATATCTTATCTTTGTTCTCTGCGCCATCGCCAAACCCAGCCACCACTATCCCCGTTCAACAGAACTTATGGGGTCAACCCCAACAACCGGTGCAGCAGCAGCCCGTTCAGGGAATGATGGGTCAAACTGGAGCGGGAATGTGGGGGGTTTCGTCTGGTTGGAATCCTCCCCAACCTCAACCTCAGGCCAATGCCTGGGGGAATCTCACATCTGGGGTTCCGCAGCAATCGCAACAACAAGGAAGCCTTGGCATGGCGACTCAGCCAGCCTCCAACAGTGGATTTGGGGCGTTCCAGCAATCGGCAGCATTCTCCACTACATCCATCTGGGCAAATAACAATACTCCTACAACAACAACTGCGAACAGCCAGCCAAAAGACGCTTTTGACGACATTTGGGGCGGTTTCAAATAGATTATCGTACACAACGCTCACCTATAGATTCTGTCTTATTTTGAGGGAGAAAACTGCGGGAAGGAGCACGGAGTCTCCCGCACGAGTTGTATTTTATTATGCCTCACAATGTAGGTCGGTTAGCTCAGTTGGTTAGAGCGTGGTGCTAATACGAGCAACGTGTTTACGCCAAGGCCGCGAGTTCGACCCTCGTACTGACCATCTTTTTGGTTCACCGCCCTCGGGCTCGATGGTGGAGAACTTGGAGTCCATCGTTGCTCATTGCAAGAATGTTTAACTGGCGTTGACACTCCATCTGTGTTCGAAGACGCTTCCGAGAGGTCCCACGATCATCGCCCTGCACCGTGATAGGCACTGGGGCATCCATATGCGCAGATATGCGACATACACCCACTTATCACCAAGCCATCTCTAACTCTACCACTGGTGGATCATGACTCCAAATTTCCATGACCGTTCTCCCCGCCCTCTTACACATGATAGCACAAACATTCCCCACGTACCCAACCTTCCATATGCTCTCGGCCGGCTCAGTCAAATCTCTAACGTACCTTCCCGAGTTCGTTTCGAACAGCCTAACCCTCCCGTCGTTCCCGCCGGTCACCAGAAAGTCCTTGTCGAATTGGAGGGTAGCCACCGAAGAATCGTGAGCGGCGACGCGTTGGAGGATGGTGTAAGTTTCGAGAGAGAACGTCATGACGCGACCGTCTGAGCCTCCTGTCGCTAGGATGGTGGGCGAGAGTTGGATTTGGCATACGAGAGCGGTGTGTCCTTGTAGAAGCGCCAAACAGGCTCTATGAAGAAACCTTGTGAATACGCGGGTTATGTCTGGGAGGCGAGGGACGGAGATTAAACTGACCCGGAAACCGGGTCCCAGATACGGACGTGGGTATCCAGTCCACCGGATGCGATCCGGACGCCGTCGTACGACACGCAGTAGATTTGGTTCAAGTGACCACGCAAAACATGAAGACACAAACCAGTGTCAACATCCCAAACCTAGAGCAAAAAAAAAAAGAGAGACATCCGTGAGCCCCGCCAGGTTCACTGGAAGGAGTTTAAACCGCCTACTCTGCAAGTCGCGTCATAACTTCCGCTGACAACGATCGAGCCATGTGCGTCCATACACCGAACACTCGATTGGTGTCCTTCTAATACGCGCAGTGGTTGACCGCTCTTGATGTCCCAGACCCTAAGCGTGGAATCTCGACATCCTGACACCGCAATCGGACGATGATCTAGGACGCTAACGCAACGAATCGTGGCCCGGTGACCTTCAAGAGAATGCAGGCATTTCCTGCAGTACGAGGGTCAGAAGAGGCCACAAAGAGAGTCGCTACCATTTGCTCTCACCCTGATTCGACGTCCCAAACTCGAACGACCCTATCACATCCACCGCTCAAAACCAACGGAGTTTCCTGCCCCCACCCAGCGGATCCCGAAGTCGCACTGTCCTTTCTCGATAAAAGCGACGACCGTGACCCTTTCCCGACCAGCCAAAGTGCCCAAACACCCCCTTTACAACCGACCAACGTCCGACTTAACACGCCTGTCCGTCGACTGAGAATGTGAATCTTCGAATCCGATAACCCTGCGACTATCCAGTCCTCGTCCATCGCCAGGGACGTCACCACTCCCCCGTCGGGCTGTGCGATCGGTAGTCGGTGGTTTCTGAGCAGCGTTCCGCCGTGAAGCCATTTCATTCCTGGCGTGAATGGTGGGCGGACGTGAGCGGTTATGGCGATGAGGATTGGGTGCGGAAAAAGCGAGAGATCGGGTGGGTGGACTCACGTTGGAGGTAGAGAACCTTGAAATGTCGTTTCGCGGTACCGGGGGCGACCGCATCACCAGAGACTTGGAGGTGCGGTGGCACCGCGAACTCCCATCTCTGGCACATCCGCCTCCATAACCAATCGTCACCACACAACCTTCTCCAATGTTTACACACCCCCGCGACATTCCTGACAAGCCCGTATAAATCGTCAACATACGAAAGAATGTGCAGAGCCAATTCCGTGGGAAGTTCTCTTAGGAAATCGCGTTTGAGCAGAGGGTTGATCAGAGTTGAGATGTGTGATAGCTCTCTTAGAGTACAGTTCCCGATGATCTTGTTGAGGTATTCTAGACGCGCTTGTTCGCTGAGCAAGGAGAACTCGTGGACAGGATCGTAGGCAAATTGCTGAAAGTTCTTTACGAGTGGGAAGTGAGTTGGATTGACTGGGTGGTCATCCTCGTGGGTGAGTGGGCCCGGCGACGGCGTGGGGGTTGGAGGAGAGGCTATTGGGATGTAGAGTGTTGATGACGCAGATGAGATGCTGGCGTTTGGGGGTAACGATGCCATGGTTGTGGTTGCATAGAATCTTGGACCAGGGATGCGGGAGGAAGTGTAGGATAGACAGTGGAGTGTTACCCGGAACCGAAATTGAGTCGGAGTTTTGTGGCTGTGCGTTTTGTTGATCGACTTGTGGTGATCAGGATTCACTGATTCGGCGGTACTGCAGCTTCAGTGGCCCCAAGTCTCCGGCCCGACGACAGGATAAGCTCGAGCCAAGAAATTTACCAAAACCATTGCCCTAGTCTCCAGTAAATAGTACGCATAATAACTCATAGCGATCGTCCTTCTTCGCCTTTCACCCACGCCTCGACGGTCCCACTTGAGTGCATTAGACGACCGACCCTTGTGCATCATCAAGTATCCCTAAATAGCAGCCATTGAAAGCTCCTTATCAGAGGTGCGTTCCTTGAACTTCTCGCTCGTGAGCACCACCAGGAGCCACATACTACACTATATAGCCTACTGTTTGTCAGTGCGGAAACCGCCATTGCCTCAAAATCGGCTTACCGACAAGAAAACATTGGCGTTTGGGGCGAGAAGTGGCCAACAGCCGCTCATTCTTAGCGCTGAATGGATCTATGGAAATATCGCAACTTTTCAAACATTCTTCGCGCTGGGCAGTACTAATTGGTTGACGATCTTTCGTGAATACCAGTTGGAATATCAGGGAACTTGGTCGTGACTGCAAGATGCAGGGAAGGACGGGATATCTATCCCGATACCTCAAAGCTGGGCAATCTGAAGATAGCTCGAGCGATGACGTGAAGAAAGCCGGAACTCACAATAACTTAGACCCTAGGACCCAGTAGGTTTCCAATTTGGTAGCACCGGGATGGAGCACGTGCAGGGAGAGTCACTGAAATGTGAGGTCCCTGCCTCCAAGCGGACGCACTCGCCGCCACATATAGGATGAGTGTGGGCCTGCACCACGTTTGGGAGGACTATAATCCGAGTACGTATATCGACGAGCGCTACGTCGGCATCTCAACCGCAGTTGACCGAGAGTCGGGCGATGTACGATTCAAATCAAATCAATGTATTCTTGTGTCGATGATCTGGCCCAAGCCCAGCAGACGAAGAGTGAGTTTCGAACACTTCAATCACATCCGACAGCAACGGTCGCGGCTGTACGCCGAGCCGCTGAGTGCCGAGACGCTGACGTCTTTCGTGATCGTCGGATGAACGAGCAACGGTGAGAAACTGACATGCATCTCGAAAAGGTCACCTCACGTCCAGAACATGACGGAGATCTCCGGGAGCACAAGCCAATTAATGGTCGCCATTTAGAATCCGGGCGGGACCATTTTGTGATTTCCGCCCTCTCGAGAGTTACGTTGATCCCCCCCCCCCAATCATCCGGGCGAGTTCGTAGAGCCCACTCAGAAAAAGCTCGGACCGAAGTCGCATAACGACCCACAAAACTATCAGGCGCTTTTCCCATACAACGGCCAACCAGCGAAACGCCGCAGTGGACGATACAACGTGGTGACCGCTTTCCAACATTCTATACCTCAAATCCGTGGCGGCGGAACGACGGAAGGACTACCGGAGCGTTGGTGCCCGTATTCTCATCAACAGCACATGCGGCGATTTCTGCTATCTGGCAAATCCCCTAGCTAGGATATCCCGAAGATAGCGGCCGTGGGAATAGTTTCATCTCGGCTTCGTGGAAAAAAAAAACGGGGAGAGGGGGCGCTGGGCTAGAACACTTCGCAAGGCTTCCAGGCCGAAGGTTCGTTATATTAGGCTCTAGCTCAAATAAACCCTGTTTACAAGGAACAGGCGGTGTTACCCGTCGGCCTTTCCTTCCTCTCCACCAGCTCCTTCCCAGCACACCTGCCTCCCCTTCTCCCCCTCCATCCGCTGGGACAAACAAGCCATGGACGACCACACAATCACCAGCGGCCCAATCCGTTCCCCAGACCAAATAATCCCTGGACTATACCTCTCCGATCTCCACACCGCCCAGGACGCCGCCGTCGCAACCTCTATCGGCATCACACACATCGTCTCCGTCCTAGACTTCGTCCCCACCTTCCCCCAGGAGATGGAGCACATAAAGAAAATGCATGTGAGGCTGTCGGACAGTTTCAGGGAGAAAATCACACCACATCTCGACGACACCACCACCTTTATCCGAGAGGCGCTCGACGGTGACCCCGAGAACAAAATATTGGTACGTCTAGCCGGACTGACGTATATTACTGCTAATCCGCTCCCTGAATTTCAGGTTCATTGCGTCATGGGTATCAGCCGGAGTGCCACGGTCGTTTGCGCATACCTCATCGCTGAGAAGGGTATGACGGCACCAGCCGCGATTGATTTCGTACGCGGGAAGCGTCCAGTCGTTTGTCCCAACGTAGGGTTCCAACGACAGCTGGGCGAGTACGCTATCGGCCTGCACGGTGAAGAGTTTGAAATGCAAATGAAGCTGGGTGAAGTCACAAAGAACATCCGCGGTTTTGGCAAGCTGTGGATGCGCGGGGTCATGAACATGAGCAAAAAGAAGGAAGCGGACCCGGACGCTTCCTAGGATAGGCCTACACCGTTTTTTTTCTTTTGGGGTTTGTTGAGGGAACTTGGGTTCTATTTATTCCTACGACGATTAGCACATATAGATAGGTAATATCGGGGATATACATGGTTACAGAAAAGGACAGCATGCGAGACCGAAAAAAAAACATCCACTACCAGAAAGCACACCATCCAGAGAAACACTGACATAGATTCTCCAACGACGTAGCCTGCAAGATCAACTTCTCCACTTGCAGGGACACATTGAGAGGCACTTCAGGATTGAAGTCTCGACCTACAATTCCAGAGTGTCAATAACCGTAATTCAACTATCTTGTCATACGCACCAGTG